TCAACCGAGACCCCCCACACACACTCTCTTCAAGTTGTGTATAGCGAACATGACAAAACATACATACAACATATTCACCACCTTACCCTTCCCGAACCACGTAAACAAACGAACTACGGGCTGCGCACCCGTGCCCTCACGGTAAGTCAATCTCAGGGGGAAAAACCCACCCCTGATGTCGTGATGGTAAAAGTGGCGCATGCATCTGGTCAGGGTGAGGGCCGGKTGCACTGAACTGAAAATAGAGGGAAGAAGAAGAGAGACATTTGACTTACTGAGAGGGAATCGGTGCGACGGGTGCGCCCGCCGCTGCTTTGGCTCCATTTCAATTTTTTGACCAAAACCCATGCGGCCTACCGGTCCTGCAGTTTCAAATAAGATGCCACCAACCCCTAAGCTGCCATGCCTTGTTTTTCCAGCCTTCCAACGATCGTATAAAGAACGTTATCAGGGGCATAAAACGCACCCCTGACGGGCTGTGAACTTCACATCCCCTTGTCTCGGTGCCCGTCCAATCCCTGGCTCTCCGTCCCACATCCAACGCGCAAACCGAGGGGGGTGCCCCCCTTTCCCCTCAGGATGACCTAAACGCAAGGGACGGGCAAAACCAAACTGAGTGCAAACCACTTCTGTCTTGGATAATTCCTCCCAATGCCTGCACCTAAACTGGGTAATGGTCCCAGAACTCTTTTCCGGGTTGTTTGTGGAGGAATTCCCGGCCTCCTCTCTCTTTCCCCCTTTCTGCTGTGGTAATAAAGTGTGATTCTTCTGTTGTAAAAAAAGGGAAACTGAGTGCAAAACTTTTGCCACGTCATTTGTCAGCGTTTCCAAAGCCTTGCCGCAAAGCGGTGGGGTTTCACACAAATCGTCTTCCAAAGCTTGGCCGTAAAGCGGTGGGGTCCAACTCTATTTCCGGGGCCTGCGCAAAATATGCGCAGGGCCTGGAAATTTTATTCCGTGGTGTAGCAGGGCAGAGGGTGGCAGCCCGAACACCCTCCCGCTTTCATATTTCGAAGGGGGCCTACCGGTTTCTAGAAAAAAGGCCCAATTTGGGCCGTTGATCGACGATGATCCACGGCCCAGATCGGGCCTTCTGTGAATTCGAAATCGCGCAGCCCCGGACTGATCGCGGTGTAGTGGCCTGGCCCACCCGTCCCTCCCCAGCAACGCCCGCTGCCCCATTGCCGCGCTGCCTGCTGCTCGTCGTACCGGAGCTGACGGCCCGCTGCCCCGCCTCCCCGCTGCTTACCTGCGGGAGCCATCGCCGCCGCCCTTGCTTGCCATCGCCGGGAGCCTCGTCTCCAGGTAACACACGTCGTCCCCCTTAACACCCCTCCACCTCCTCCTCCCCTCCTTCTCCTCTTCCTCTTCCTCGTTCTCCTCCTCCTCCTCGTCCTCCTCCTCTTCCTCCTCACTCTCGTCGTCGTCGTCCTCCTCCTCCTCCTCCTCTTCTTCTTCCTCCTCCTCCTCCTCCTCTTCCTCTTCCTCCTCTTCCTCCTCGTCCTCTTCCTCCTCCTCGTCCTCCTCCTCTTCCTCCTCCTCCTCTTCCTTCTCCTCTTCCTCCTCCTCGTCCTCGTATTCTACTTCTTCGTCGTCCTCCTCCTCCTCCTCCTGCTCCTCCTCCTTCTCCTTCTCCTCCCCCTCCTCCTCCTCCTCCTCGTCTTCTACTTCCTCCTCCTCACCTCCTCCTCCTCTTTATCCTCCCTATCCTTCCCCTCCTCGCCCTCCTCCTCTTCCCCCTCCTCGTCCTCGTCCTCCTCCCCTTCCTCCTCTTCCTCCTCGTCGTCCTCCTCTTCCTCCTCCTCCTCCTCCTTCTCCTCTTCCTCCTCGTCCTCGTCTTCCTCCTCCTCCTCCTCCTCCTCCTCCTCCTCCTCCTTCTCTTCCCCCTCCTCCTCATCGTATTCGTGCTGCCCTCCTCCTCGTCTTCAACTTCCTCCTCCTCACCACCTCCTCCTCTTTATCCTCCCTATCCTCCCCCTCCTCGCCCTCCTCCTCTTCCTCCTCATCCTCGTCCCGCCGCATCAGCCGTCGCCATGACAGCTGGAGCTGTTTAACAGTTATATCAGGTAAGGTAAAACGAATGATTAGCGGCCGATCAATGAAAGCTCCAATTGAGCCATTTCTGGTAAGGAGAACAGGCAATGCGGGATGAACCGAAAGTTGAGCTACGCTTCCAAACTCTGCGCTAACCGAGACACCGCAAAGGGTGCTGATTGATACAGACAGCAGGACGGTGGTCATGGAAGCCGAAATCTGCAAAGGAGGAAGAGGAGTAGGAGACGAGGAGGAGGAGGAGGAGGAGGAGGGGGAGGAGCGGGAGAACAACGTGGAGGAGGAGGAGGGAGAGGAGAAGGAAGAAGAGGAGGAGGAGGATGCGGAGGAATAGGAGGATGAGGAGGAGGACGACGAGTAGTAGGAGGAGGCGGAGGAAGGGGACGACAGCGACGCTGTCGACGCGGACGTCGACCCTCCCCCTGCGTTTTCTATTTTTTTTTAACTTTTATCAATCAATGTATCAATTAATCAATCGATCGATCGATCAATCAATCAATCAATCAATCAATCAATCAAATCGAATCGATTGATTAGATTGGATCTTGATTGAATGAAAATCGAGATCCAATCGACTCAATCGATTCGATTGGAATGATTGATTGATTGATTGGTTGATTATCCCGAAAAAGGCGCTTTCTGGCGGAGAGGGGAAGAGGACGACGAGGCGCAGGACGAGCGGGAGAACAACGTGGAGGAGGAGTAGGAGGGAGAGGAGGAGGAAGAAGAGGAGGAGGCGGAGGAAGAAGAGGAGGCGGCGGAGGAACACGAGGAGGAATTGGAGGAATATGAGGAAGAGGAGGAGGAGGAAGACGACGAGTACTAGGAGGAGGAGGAGGTCGACGACGAGTAGGAGGAGGGGGAGGATGACAAGGAGGAGGAGGAGGAGCTTTCTGGCGGAGAGGAGGAGGAGCGGGAGAGCAACGTGGAGGAGGAGGAGAAGGAGCGGGAGAGCAACGTGGAGGAGGAGGGAGAGGAGGAGGAAGCAGAGGAGGAGGAGGAGGAGGAAGACGAGGAGAAGGAGGAGGAGCTTTCTGGCTGAGAGAGGGAGGATGAGAAGGCGGAGGAGCTTTCTGGCGGAGGGGGGGGGAGGAGATGGAGGGGGAGGAGGCGGAGGAAGAGGAGGAATAGGAGGAGGACGACGACGACGAGTAGGAGGGGGAGGAGGAGGAGGAGGATAAGGAGGAGGAGGAGGAGGAGGAGGAGGGGGACGGCAACGACGCTGTCGACGCGGACGTCGACCCTTCCCCTGCGTTTTTTTTTATTTTTATTTTTTATAATCAATCAATCAATCAGTCAATCGGTCGATCAATCAATCAATCAACCAATCGATCGACGATTGATTAGATTGGATCTTGATTGAATGAAAATCAAGATCCAATCGAATCAATCGATTCGATTGGAATGATTAATTGCTTGCTTGCTTGATTGATTGGTTGATTGTCGAGGAGGGGAACGAGGATGAGGACGACTAGGAGGAAGAAAAAGTACAAGACGAGGACGACGAGGAAGAGGGGAAAGAGGAGGAGGAGGAGGAGGAAGAAGAAGAGGAGGAGGAGGAGGAGAAGGCAGACGAGGAGAAAGAGGAGGAGGAGGACGACGACGAGTCGAACGGTGTAGGGGCGAAAGAGTAAACGAACCGTCGAGTAGGTGGTTCCCTCTGAACTTTCCGTCAAGATAGCTTGATTGAATCAATCAACCAATCAATCATTCCAATTGATTCGATTGGATCTTGATTGAATTAATATCTGGCGATGAGGGGTTGTTCTGGCGACAGTCATAAACACACACACACACGCGCGCACACACACACGCGCACGCAACACACACAAACACACACAAACACACAAACAAACACACACAAACACACACAAACACACACAAACACACACAAACACACACAAACACACACAAACACACAAGGCACTTGTCTTGGAGGTCATTGGCATAACAACCTGTCAAACCTCTCTTCACCACTTTCTCATCATCAGATATCAAGTTGCTGAGAAAAATTGCAACATAGGAGCCGCTGTTTGCTATAGCTGCAACAGGTGTAATGACCCACCGGTGAAAGTCTCATTTATTATTATTATTATTATTATTATTATTTAAGGCTAATTCTTTAAGCCCAAGCAATTCAATTACCTGTCAAATCTGGACAGGACGGCCTTTCAGGCCTTTTTTATTGTAATTATAGCATTACGGGGAACCCCGTAGCAGCCACATCCGTGCTCAAGCCTCCAACGACCTTCTTCCCCCGAATACAACGTACGGTCATTATAGCTGTATTTGAGTCGTCTTTCTGTCTAGATACAGCCATAATGACCGTACGTTGTATTCGGGGGAAGAAGGTAGGGATTCCGAACATGCGGGAGCTGCACCCACCCACCAGCAGGTGGTGCGATACCCCTGCTACGTCAGGTGTCTCCACAAGAACCGGAATCACTATGGGTTAAAACTTGAAAAGGACAACGGCCGACCACCAATCATACAAGATCATGAATCACGTGAACTGAAAGAGCAGTTCTTCATGCAGTAAAATCAGCGGAAAACGTGTCACCAAGATAGGGCCTCGCTGCACTACTCTCGAAATGTGCAAAACGAGAGTGCATCTTCCGCTAGAACATGGAAAGATACACGGCCATGATTTTTGTCTTTTGTCCATTTCAAGAGTAGTGCAGCGAGGCTCATAGTTTCAACACAAGGCGGCTAGTATACTAGAAAACTAACAAATACAACATAGCAACAGACTCAGTCATAACACTAGAACCTCCCCTAGATCCCCTCCTGCCCCTTCAGCGAAAAATCCCGGAGTTCAGTAGTTTTATTTTTGAGGAGTTCAGCAGTTTTTTTTTTTTTTTTGTAGGAGTTCAGTAGTTTAGATGAGTCCACAGTGTCTTTTTGACTGGGACAGACGCGTTCGCCCGAGCCTTTTTTTTTTTTTGTGTGTGTGAAGCGAGGAAAAAAACAACCTGGCAGGCCTGCCTACCTTCTTCCCCCGAATACAACGTAGGGTCATTATGGCTGTATATAGACAGAAAGACGCCTCAAATACAGCTATAATGACCGTACGTTGTATTCGGGGGAAGAAGGGTATCGCCCAAAACGTCACACTTACCCGGGGCCTGGTCCCATTAGCAAAGAGGATTGGGTTTAATTCATGAATCTGGATGCGCTTTGCGCAGAGATGAAGAAAAACAGATGAAGCGCAATTTTCTGCATGAGTCCGCAAACACGTCCAGATTCCGGAATGAAATCCAATCCTCTTCGCGGATGGGACCAGGGCCCGGGTCACACCGACTTTGCTTGGATTATGGGCGTCGCTGCACTACTCTTGACATGCACAAAAGACAAAAATATTGGCCGTGTATCTTTCCATATTCTAGCGGAAGATTCACTCTCGTTTTGCACATTTCGAGACGAGTGCAGCGAGGCCCTATATGCATTCAGTTGGGCGCAAGTATTCTTCGATGCGCAAAACTATTTCACGTTCATTTTTCAATTTCTGTTTCCCTGATGCGGAGGAACCTTTTTTTTTTTTTCCTTTTTTTTTTTTTTTTTT